CTCCATCAATTGATAAAACCAGATTGTAAACTCATTAATATACTGTAAGCAGACTTCCGTTCAGTATAGTCCGAAGGCTATTAAAGATGCCATATTTCTCCTTTCTTTTGCTTCTATCAACCACCACTGCATATGATCATTATTACGCAAGCTTCTTACCGGTCTACAGTTGAATTTCCTTTGGGTTTTCCTTGGTTTTAAAAACGCCGGTCAATATATCCGTAAATCTAGCTTTCTAAGGGAAACTAGAAAATTATGAGTAGAAATTGTCTTTTATTTTATCTGAGTTGCGTGAGAGGATACGGATAGTTCTGAAAAAGCAGAGACAGCACTTCATAACCACGAACTGTCAAACCTAGGAGGAAAACTAGAAGGGTAGGACGGAGCTAAATACAAGAAGTCTATAGAAGAAGTAAAATAGGGATTCAAAAAATGAAGAACTCATAAAACAATTATGAAACCCAAAAGAAAGTCCTAACCATACAGCGTACTTAGTCACTTTCGCCTTTTACAGATAATGCAAAAATCTTACGAAGGGTTTGATAAAACCAAACAAAATGCATGCTAATTTAAGTATAACGCACATCGTTCCTTAGGGATACATGTCTGCTGTCGAAACTCATCATTTCATTTGGTTTCTTGATAAGGTCCCAAATGATACAAACCAGAAGCTTGTGAAAAACTACTTTGATTGATAGTGAGTTCTGTAGCTCCTTTTTTTTGTATTCTTCATAAATTTTGGGGGGATTCCAAGCCAAATGGAATTTATCTTATTTGTGTATGAACCACATTCATTAATGTCGATTGTTTTTATTTCTTCATGTACATCTTATAACATTTTATCAAGTATCTTCATCACAGCCGATATACATATTCATATAATTCCTTTAACGTAAGGACAACCGTGAAACGTGTCACTGATCAAAATATTTTAATGTGGAATGACAAAAACGCCTAAGGACGAACACTGGCTAAGAAAGCACATTATGAAAACCGTATATGAAACTTACTTTGTGCAGAAGCATTCGAAACTTTTATGTAAAGCAGCAAAGCAGATAAGAAAAAAACCGAGGATAGAAGTTCAGCTCTTCCTACAACTCCAGTAACCTAAAAATATTTTTAGCTAATTTCTTCATACAGCTTCCGTGTGAACAGGATGTGCAGAGAATAAAATAGAGCCGAAAAACGCTGATTCCCTCTGCAAATAGCACAAACACAATCTAAAGTGTTATTCGGAACCCAAAGATACTTGAAAAACAAAAACACGACGACAGAATGAAGGACGATATTTGTGGCGTGATATCCCGTAGGACTAAGTTCATGAAACAAATAGTTAACTCTAAATGTGAGGACAGTGAACGGCCTATATGACTTATGGCTTCTTTCCTAACAAAATAATACTTAGAACGATTTCCATCAAACCTCATTCATAGGAGTCCCCCAGAAATCATTTTTGAAAAGCTCTGCTAAACTTGTAGACGGGCGTAAATCTCGGTTGTCTCTAATAGCAGACACATCATCAAAAACGAATCCGCATCCCAAAGAATTAAAGTAAATTGCTGAAGAAAACAGGCACAGCAAAACCTCCGGCCACATAAGAGTGCGGCGTTACACTAAATTAGTGCGTTTTCCAAGGTCATTAGTTCTTTACTTACTCAAACGTTCATGAACAAAAAATGGAGAATTATAAGTCCATTGAGAACTGCATCTCGGTTGATGAATTGGGTTTTCGGGTGCGTAGATAAATAATTCTTGTTGTGATTCTAAATGCCAAAGCTTTCGTGTTATATTGTTCCGACTCTTTCGTAACTCTCCTTTTATTTTAGTTTATTATTGGATCGTATTGATAATCCAGTTGGAAGAAAATTATCATAAGCGATATAATGCACCATGATCAGATTCCATCTAGTTGTTCACGGCTGCACAAATTTTATTTGTAATGTAATCTGAATCTAATGTCTATATGGCTAGTTAAATGTCACAACTCTGCTTATAGCTCTTCAAGAGTTAATGCCGGTCCCAACCCCGGGTAAAGGATGGAATTGGGTATGAGGTCGGCAGCTCCATTCCGTAGAAAAAAATCTCCCTGAAAAACACCAACCGGATTAAACAATTCAAACCATTAAGTGAAATGTCACTGAGCCTTAGCCAAGTAATCCGGCAGTTGGGTCACTGAAAATCGAACAGTTTACCGATCCTCATCATTTTCAAGGACAACCAACGATCATCAATTAATTTCAGTGGTCGCAATCTGCTCTTAGTGTTACTATTGCATTTCTCTAATAACGTCGCTTGTGTTTCACGATCATCAAACGGACCATAGTATATGGACAGAGCAAAAGGGTTATCCGCGTTAGGCTCTAACCGCGAAACATGAACTCGTCGTTAGCTATTTGATCACTTCATTCCCGTCTGACTAGAGCAGGCCCCCAAGTCATTCGACAAAAATCATCTACGTAAGAGAGCTGCATATTCATTTAAAGTACTTTTTAAAGTGGTTCTAATCTAAAAGAGTTATATAGTTCTTGGGGTAAAAAGACATGCCAGAAGGGGTTCCTCAATAATAGTTCTTTAGTAAGCACTCAAAAGGTTCTAAATATTTTGTAGGTCATGTCACCTAAAGTTCTGGGAGAAACACAGCGGCAAATTATTCCGAAGAGACTGAAGAATTTCAATCAGAAAAAACGTTCGGTTCGTTTTACAACAATATCCATGTACATTCTATAATAATGGTGCATTCCTATCTAAATTGTTGTGAAGTAAACAGTGAATTGAAGAGAAACTAATACTTACAGCTTTGTCTAAACGGTAAGTTTGTGTTAAATATTTGTTATTATTATAGCTTCACAAACTACACTAATATCAGGAGAAGAAGGCTTAGTGATAAAACCGAAATGTCAACAAAGTAAAATCAGATAATATCATTATTTCGACTGAGGAATAGCATACTTCGTACATTGTATTCTCCCTAATGTGCAAATTTAAATGAACTGGATGTTAAAACATTGAATGATTCACTGAACTTTGTCTAGACTATGGATGTTAAATCATATCGCGACATACTACCAATATGGGCTGCCCTAAAGTTGTATGCTATACATAAAAAGTTATTTTTAGCCCGTCATATCAGCAAGGGATTTTAGTGACCAGGTCCTGTCAGTTTAAGGCCTGGCTACCGGGTTTGGACTAATTAGGCTGAAACTCGCCAGATGATGTGGCTGAAATGTTATTCATTTCAATCCGTCAGTTTGACTACATCCGGCTTAGTTAGATTAAAATTTAAACTCCCATCCAAAAATTGATTTCTGAGAGTTGTTTCCGGGATAATATATTTTAAGTGGTTCAGTCTTATCGTTTACATCAATGGGATATTACCTTTCCTTAGACGAATTTCTACACTAGACACTGTGCCAGTATGTACTCTACAGGACTTCAACGAAACTCTGAACACGAACACGTGATTGACCTCACCAGAACGTGAGTATGGTTCGAAACCAGCAGCCGGCGAAAATAACAAAAATCAGGAGTCGGAAAATATGAATCAAATCTAATAACTGTCAGACTACCTACTGGCCTGACTTTGGGGATAACCAATAAGTAATTTTATCGCCCACACATCAGTGATAATTTACACTTTCAATCCTATTAAAGAGCACTTTGTCAGTTATATAACCTCGCCATTCAAAAGTAAATACACAGATCACGTACTTGTAGGGTCAATGATAAGTCACCGAGTGTTAGACCAGTCAACAATCAAGGTGGATAGTAGACACGGTACGCTGCAGATTGCTGAACGTTAGACAGCTGTCGAAACACCATTTAGATCAACCCTGACTGGTCACTTGCACACTGTAGTCTGGCGCATGCACTAGCGATTGTACTAAGTACTTCTGCAGCTTTTCCGTATAATAAATTTCGTTGGTGAGGCCATGCTCGTTCCACGCAGCCAACAAGTAGGTAAAAAGCCTTGATATCATGACAAGATGGAACAGGTTGGTCCTCAACCGTGAAGTGTGACTCCGATATAATTCGCACCACAAGATTTCTGTCCAACTGGAGTAGATTCGTTATCCAAACAGATAAGTTATGTTTGTGATTTGCACATTTAATTTGATTTAAGGCACTATTTCGTCC